GGGGTCTCGGGTTCGAATTTATAACTTGTGTTGGGCAAGGCCGTGGTCTAGGCAACACGGAGTTTTCCTCCGGGGGCTTCCCCGGTTTCTCCGTGGCATCCCAAAAATTACTCCATTCACACACAGAAGAAGGCAATGGCAAACCACTTCTGGATCATCTGCCAAGAACGTATATGAACAGGTCCCAGTCCGAGAAAATAATGGAAGGATCCTGTTCATATGGACCTGTCGTCAGAATGTTATATACTAATACGATTTTTTAAAAATATGATTAAGTTGTACTTTGCATTCATGTAACAGAGTAACGACAATATAATGAAAAAAATTCGCCTCACAACTTAATGTAGACACCCGAACAAATACGACCGGACGAACGAAAGTTATTTCAAGGTTACGCTTCGTTTTATGCAATGACTACACTGAGCCAACAAGGGACCTGGCATAACGACTGCTAGATGATGATGATGACGGCTGCAAAAGACCGGTGGTGTAGGGCTCCTAACTCCGGAGTCTAAGGGTTCGCACCCTCATTATCGCACATCATTACTTGACAAGCTTCAAGACTTAAGTGACGAAGAGACCGAGTAATTAATGCCTCTTTCTAAGCAACTGGCTCTTCACACAGACAACCTAGCCAAGTGGCAGTTGAGCCGACTTACAAAACGCGTTCGGAAGACATTTTATTTTGATTGGTACGTAATAACACAACATACACACATTCAATGACTTCAAATCAACTTTTGGCTTCGTCGATTATAATTTTTATATACTTAGCTTGAAGTATATACAGTAATGTAAGCTCATCTTGGTTTTAAGCCACCTGTATGTGACGTTTCTAGAAACTGGTACCGCTTTAAGTCCTATTGTTAATTAGTGGTAAAGTGCCGTCGATATTTTCCATTCATTTACACCGACGTACATCAGCTGATTGACTCTACTCTGTACATGAACGTCTAACTATAGAACAGAAAAGTCTATCTGGCCGGTAGAAACATCTGAGTTGTTACTGCGCAGTTTCTCTCAAAAACATCTCGCTCTTTCCAGTGATTTTCTTGTTTTAATTGATGCTGGAATGAATTAGATATTCTTATCCGTTTCAATGTTACATCTGGCAGCATAGTTGTATGCTCCTTGTCACAGCAGAAATAAACTGACTGCTTCATTCACTGTAACTATTTACAAAGATTCGATCTTAGTTCATTTAACGAGTGGAATAACAGGATGATCACGAATAAAGAATGCGAATGGATTTGGAAAGCAGCTTATTTTAAGCTACCGTACCAGCAAATACCTAAAGAGATTTATTAGAACCACAAACATTTCAGTTGGGGTAATCAGCCTCAGAGAAGAAGGCAATGGCAAACCACTTCTGTATCACCTGCCTAAAAAATATATGAACAGGTCCCAGTCCGAGAAAAGGATGGAAGGATCCTGTTCATAATATGTCGCCAACCTCCTGTAAAGGAGACGGCGTAATAAAGAAGAAGAATCAGCCTCAGGGTACCAAGTGAAACCCGAGATGTGTAAAATACTACACAGTGAGGTTACTAGCACAAAGAGATAAAAGAAACTCCAAAACAACGTAGTACATCTTGGGTGTAATGTGTGAAATCATGACGACAATATTCCCACTATGTCTTGAATCTACATCTCCAGGACGAAAATTGGTTAGCCTTAACAGGTTCGAAACCCTCAGTCGCCATTGGCATTAAAAATAATGAATAATCATTAACAAATGTGCAGTATAATGACAATCGCCTGAAAGAGGACAGACCAACTGGAAACTGTCAAACTATGGAACATATTCCTTCGTGAGAGACCACAGTCGCTCAGCCAGTAAAGAAATTCCTCGACTTTTATCCCAAATGTTCATTACCTTGTTCACAAAAATCTGTCATTGGAACCTGCCCTGAGCTAAATTAATCTACTACTATCTAAAAACAGTCTATGGTAACTTCTTTCCACATATTTCACAAATGTATTATTCACACAATCGTCCTACAACTGAATACAATAGTCTACAATCCATCAAGTCTAAAAAAGCGTCTGTAAATAAACCAGAAAGCATCTCTAACAGCTGGGACAGACAGGCAGCATGTTAACTAGGCTACGGGCTGGGAGAACGGGGTTCTGTTCTCTGTAGAGTAGGATTTTTCTTTTCGTCACAACGTCCAGACCGTTTCTGAGGACCACGACCTAGTGGGTCTGTGGTTCTTCTCCGGGGTTGAAGAGGTGGGGGTGTGAACTGACCACTGACCTACATTTAGTGCCGAGTTACGAATACGTGAAAATGTACCTTCATGGCGTGGTGTTTAATTAAACAAAGGGAAAACGTCAGTGTAACATCTCAATACAGAAGGAACAATTCAAATGGAGCTTAAACTACAAGCAGACAGCCTAAATATTTACAGAAACATGTTTCGTATTTTTTATTGTTATTCACTTTAATTAAACTTCATGACTCGAACTTCGTTGATGTCGTTGTAAATACGGAACAGAACATTTTTTTTAGAATGCACCTTTTTGTCGCCCACGGACTCCCTCTCGACTAAAAACGTACGAAATGTCGCGGCTTGAAGTCTGCAGAATCGCGGCGTTGTACATGAACAGCACTTTGGCTGACGCTTGTAAACTCGGCGCTTGTCGTGTTCGGTCACTGAGGTTCCGACTAGAAGAATAGCCTGTAAATCCCGTTCCATAAATTGCTATTTGTAGTCGCTGGTGACACTGTTAAGCTATTACTATGCTGGGGACCTCGTGTTTTCCGTTTGATGATCCTTGAATATCAAACGCCACTGACCAGACCCTTCCTTATAAAGCTAACAGTCGCTCAGCTACGAAAGGAATTTCCTTCCGTTTATGAAGTCGAAAGCCCATTACAGCGTTCATAAGGGCTTGCAAATCAAATGCGTGTACTTTGCATGGAAGACCATGTACACCTTTGAAGCTGAAGGTCTTTTAAAAATACACAAACATTGTCATTACCTCAAAGTAAACATAACCCATAACAATTACAAAAATCAACCAGTTAGTGCCGATTAGGGAAATGGTCGCTGTTTAATCCAAGAATCATAACAGACAAATTCACTTTGTGGGTAAAAAGCATAATTTACAGTTAAAACACGTGGTATATGTAATTCTCAATGGGTTTTAAAGGGTTAAAATATGTCTTGGTTTTTCATCCCATCACCCAAAAACTCAAAAAACTGTTGGAATTGTGACTTTCTCATCCTATGTGCTCTCTTCAGTTACTATACTACACAAGGCTCTATACTGATGGCGTCATTAAATGAACGACACATAAATAAACAATGCATTACGCGAGGCTCAGATGGGACTATCGTGGAGCTGAATATAAAAAAAACATGAACATTCCGTTAATTTCGACAAATAATACAAATTATGATTTTTTATTTAATTCGTCATTAAAAATACAAGCTTTCCAACCGTTGAAATACCTGTAATGTTGAATAGAACTTTGAACAATACACGAGTGCGTATGTATAATGCGTACGTGCGTGTGTATGTATATATATTTTTTTTTGTTTCAACGGAAAGTTTTTGGGTTTTATAACCTAACAAAACCATAAATTCAGAAGTGCACTGTTAACAATTGGCCCGTGTAGACGAAAGAAAGAAGTCCACATCTCGTGAACAGGAAGGTAGTTGTCTTTTACCAGGACAACGCCCGTCACCAAGTCAGTTCAATGACGCACTAAAAAAAATAAAAGATAAGAATTTGGAAATTTTGGCACCATCCGTTTACATTTATTCAGACCATTTCAAAGCCATTTAAGGTATAAGAAATTTGAATGATTCAAAAAGGTCAACGATGGCATCCTCTTGCGTGATTTGAATAAAAACAAAGATGTTTTTACCAGGCCGAAATTGTAAAGCTTGTGAGACGTTGGTAGACCGTAATAGCAAGCACTGTAAATTATATAATTGATTAAATATTGTAAATATATTTTGAAAAACGGGAAAAAACTTTCCGTTCGACCAAATATATATTTAAATTTATATATTATAAATACTCACTTCAAATCTACGATATTGCAAAATTATAAATCCCACGTTCTGTCCTCTTCAGATATTAAGGAAATTCGACAAGAATTCTGCACTGACTCTCTCCTGAACCAGATTAATCCAGTTCAGCCCACACGATATTTTTTCACTTGCATATTTCGTCCAGTCTGAACTTCGATGAGACTGGATATCAATAACAGGGGAATGGCCAAATGACAGTTGATTGATTCGGCGCATAAGTTCAGTCAAGATGGTTTCGATGAGGACACGTAGCAGAAGAAAGACGACGCCCATCAAATGATCATAAACAGAATGAACGTACGGTCCCAAGCAACGTGCATCGTGAATCATAGTCAAAATACAGAATGTCCCAAAAAGATGCATACACATTCAATGATTGAAATAAACACTTTTGACAAACTAAACCACTACATACGTGAGCATTCGCGCTTAGTGAATTAGAATATAATTTGGGCGTTCAAAATGACCACCGTTAGCTTCGTGGCAAAGTTGACAGCGGTGAGCAACTGACAAGCGGTCACCAAAGATTCTGCTGTGTATAAACATTTTTGGGACTTCCTGTAAACACGATATGGGCAAAGTGGGGGCGCAAAATAGCAGAAAAATCATTTTAAAAGTCTTGAGCACTCCGTCAATAAGTACACAATTCCAATAGGTTTGTAAAATAACTATAATTTATTCTCTCACTCATAGCCAGAAGTTCTAAATTGTTTTCCTTAAGCACACATATTATACAGAGTTAATTTTCAGTGTCTTAGAATTGTTGTTATATAGTTCCAGGAAACAATGTTTTCTCCGTGGCATCCGAACAATTACTCCATTCACACACAGAAGAAGGCAATGGCAAACCACTTCTGGATCATCTGCCAAGAACGTATATGAACGGGTCCCAGTCCGAGAAAAGGATGGAAGGATCCTGTTCATATGGACCTGTCGTCAGACAGAACACTAAATAAATAATAAAATAGAGAATGTATTCGAACTGGTCAATACTTTATATGCCAGCAAAGGCACCTTTTCCCTTCACCCTGTGCCTCACTCCATAACCTACGTTTCTACATGGTAACTCCAATCCATTAGAATGTGTACAATCAAATCAAATGAATGGTTCTTGGTCGGTTAAAGCTAAGCATACTTTGCATAGGCGCCATACAGAGTGAACGTAAGAAATGTATGCCATTTTACTGCAACACTGCTCATGAAGTAAATACCCAGAAATTGAAACTAAACAGATTCGAGTGGTCATATAATCAAGTATATGTGACCTGCGTGTTCAATGAGGGCACCGTGAGCCAGCAAAATGTGTAGGAAGTTTGTTTAACTTCTTTGTCTTAAGCAGTTACATGTTGCAACAGTTGGTACAAAAACTTTTAAATTTCGAACGTTCCCGCAGAATTCTGCGCGCTGTTGTGTGTCATGTCTTTTTTGCGTGGACTACGAACGAAAGGGGAGGGCATGTGTCCATCTCAGCGTTAGTGAGTGGTGGTCTCACAGAGTTTCTTCCTTTACCAAAGCAGTCAGTCTGATCAAACAATTTACAGGTAGCCCTCGATTTTTCGCCGATTCAGAATAAAGCCGATTTTGATCATATAACCTACTCGAATAGCTCAGTTTTCATTCATCTTCCTTACGGTTAACACACATTATCACAGGAAAATATTATACATTTCATGTGCACAGTTTGTACCTCAATTTCAAGCCCTTGCAAAAGGGGTAGGACGTGAGATATAATATGAAACTGGGACTGCATTACAAACATTCAAAGGCACTGAATATTTATTCCTATGTATGCAAAAGTATTTATAGTAATTACAAAGAAAGATGGATTAATGAATGAAGTTGAACAGGCAATATTGCATAGCACATAAAGGGAAACAGAAAACAAAGAAAATAGCACAAAAAAGTTTTGTTTCTCACGGTTCAATGCTTTACGAACTAATAAAATACTAGATAAATTTATCAAAACCACATTCATCATGAACATCGTGAACATCGTTACTAAGCTGTTCAGACTACAAGAATTAGAACCGTTCCACTATTCTATCGATCGTTCCTGACACCTTCTTTTCGATTTATATCGATTGAGCAGCTTCGAAATTTGGTTTCAGACATTCTTTCTTAATGTTAAAGTCATTTATTTTAATAGATTTTTTATAATTTTATTGATGTGTGCTACTTCATCTGCATCACTCTCATGATCCTTCATTTTGTGTCCTTCGATCGCTCTAAAGAAGCATTTCTACTGTCTTCAGTCACGTAATTTAATGTCGTATTGACCTCCAAAACTCCAACCTAAATAAAACGTTGGTATGCCTGTTACCCTATAGAATTTTCAGTAAGGTTCGTTTCTCACTTTTAACTAGTAATATGCGTTTTATAGTTCAATACAACGGTTGAATTCTATTTAGTTTTATATTAAAATTATTATCTATCTCAGATTAAAACGTCTCACTTGTTAACTCTTTATGGTCCGTCATGACTTTTAAGTCCTTTTAGTATAAAATTCCCACAGTCTGGAATATCCTGCAACGTCTTATTTAAATCGTGCTGTTTTTATGTAATATTCCTCCCAAAGCAAATAAATTTTGTTGTGAGGTAAACATTTTCATAAAGTGGCCTCTTCGTAAGCATATTCTGCAATTTACATATGACTTTCTGGAAATTATCCACCTTGCAGCCGAAGCAGATGCCAAAAGTGAATTAAAATATTCCGTCATCCTGGCGGAGGGGATACTTCAATATTCTGAATATTCCGGTCCTTATAGATTTGAAATTGATACGACTTATATTCAAATAATTTCCATAAATTAATGGTTAATGTGAAATGCTGTGAAGATAAATCTAGCAATTTTCCGTAGCTCATACACGAGCGTATCACACAAACCAGAATGCAAGACTGCATTTGGCATATAACTTAAAAAATTCACTGAACAAAAACACTTCAAGCATTGACATGACTTAATAATTTCCATAAACATTTTGCTTTGGATAAGAAGGCTGTTACGTTATTTTACCATATGAACCCTTCTTCATACGCTATTAGTCACTCAGTTTGCCAAGAAATGATTCATCATTTCAGTGTTCACAAGAGCCCGCCTCTGTACGTCTATAATGTGCGTCTCTCAAGCATACAAATTATGTCCGGGCAAAGGGTAACAATAGTTAGTTGGTTAAACTTGTGAATGTTTATGACTAAATGTTTAGGAAGGATCTGTAATAACGTCGTAATAACGGAACGGTTATTTAGCACCGAATCCGATGTGAAAATAAAATGTTTCTTAACTCTGCCATTCTATCGCTGTAAAAGATTTATCTTTCTCATCTGAATTTATCTGGTGTTTTAAACAATCAATAAAATTAGCTTATAATAGCGTCTCTTGCCGTTTATGCCATTTCAGCTATTAAAAATATATCACTAACGAACAGAAGTTAACCACTCAGTACCGAAATGGTTAACTAAAAAAGCAAACATTTACAAAATAAAGCTATGGATGTTATTTGACAATAAAATAAACAAAACGAAACTAAAAAATAGTAAAATAAGAACAAAGACAAAACGGAAACAAACATTCACAAGAAATTACGTAATTCCTTGCGTTTTTGTAGGCAATACAGCGCTATTAGATTGGGATACTGGGGAAAATCATGAAAATAAGCTTTTCCACCGCAAGTTAAACTGCTTGGAACAGGGCATTTGCGATTCCCACTGAAAACTAAGACGAAGAAACAAGGCAACGATCGTGTTTTTATGAGTAAGACATTGGGACAAGAATATCTGAGAGAAATACAGAATTGTGAATCGTGATCTTCTGGGTTGTAAAGACACCTACATAATTCAATTCATATTTATGTTGAACGTCGATTTTTAATAGAGAAACAGTCATAAAATTCCGCAGTTTAACATACGGAATTGAGTAAACAAAATATTTAAAAAGTAAAACAGGTAAGAATGTGCAGGTAATTTGTAAGTTCCTACCTTCTTGAACGGATGGATTCCTTGACTCTGTAAATAAGAAAGAAAACAACGATAAGAGTGAGGCTTCTACGATCATTGGCAAGGCTGAAATTGTTTGCTCTAAGACTATCTTGTTTAGGGGAATAAATATAACACTTAAAATGCCGGCATGAGAGAAACAGTTGAAACATGATCACAGAATAAACGGATAATTAAACACTTTTACTTCAACCACTCTTTCTTCTATTCCTTGAGCACCTGATAAGTCTTCAACTGCTCCTACGGAACATGGAATTTCATAATCGTTACAGCAAAAGCTTGTCACTAAACCATACTAAGCTACCTCAATCCACTCACAGTTTCACAGTTGATTCCCCTGAGTCTTATTTTAATATTATCCTCTTATGTCTTCCAAGTTCTCTCTTCGAACGCGTCTGTGGGAAACAGTTTTATCAATTGAATGGTAAAATGCATTTCTGAGCTTATCTGTTCTCCAGTTTTAGTTACTTTAATGTCGTCGCATTTTCGAAGAGTTTATGCGAGACTTTTCTTTTTGTTTTGGTGGCTGAACTGCATTCTGGCAATAAGGTTTGAATATACATTTACGTCCTCTGAGTTTATTTCAAAACTAGCATCCTGACTATTTCAATATATTTTATGGGTTTTATGGTATTCATGATGCCATCTTCTAGGAATATTTTATTACTTCCATAACAGTGCTTCCCAGTCTTTTTATACCTGTGGTCACACTGTTATAATGTTCGAATTTATTGGGGCATTGGAAGTGTGGGAGTGTGAAGCACCTCCAGGTGTTATATGGGGTCTGGGTTACTCCGACGCATAACATTTTGAGAAAGAAAGATATTGAACCACCACACAATACTTTGACTTTACATTTGAAGTGTAATACTCAGGCTGAATCTTAGTATTATGACAATAAAATCTTAAATAATATATTATGCAAATAATGTATTTATTTATTTAGTGTTCTGCCTGACGACAGGTCCATATGAACAGGATCCTTCCATCCTTTTCTCGGACTGGGACCTGTTCATATACGTTCTTGGCAGATGATCCAGAAGTGGTTTGCCATTGCCTTCTTCTGTGTGTGAATGGAGTAATTGTTGGGATGCCACGGAGAAACCGGGGAAGCCCCCGGAGGAAAACTCCGTGTTGCCTAGAGCACGGCCTTGCCCAACACAAGTTATAAATTC